TCCAACTACGGTCAGTGTCTGGGCAGAGCTGGGCACAATGGGACCCCCTGACCTTCCTGGGCATCCCTTCAAGCCAGTGGGATCCAACCAGGGCCATTCTGTGCAGCTTTTTGCAGCTGGGCTACAGGGGCAGGGAAGGACAGAGACAAACTGGTCACTCACCGGTTCACATAATCCACGATCACTCTGAGCGCAGCTGGGTTGATGCTCGTGGAGGTCTCTGGCCCGAAGCAGAGGAGAAGGAGCAGCAGCAGGAGTCCAGCCGTTGGCATCCATCCCAGTACCTGCACAGGACTCCACAGACTCAGAGCCCCCCAACCCACATCTCCTAGCCCTGCTATGCTACCAACAGGCGAGTGGGCAGTGGGACCCTGTGGGGCTACATGGGGGAGGAGGAGGAGGGGGAAATGGGGGGAGTCATCAGGGTTTCCATGGGTAGGAGGAACTGGGGGGCAGAAAGCACTACCCTGGTGCTCCATGGGGTAGTGAAGGTGGGGGTCATGGGGGAGTTCCCTTGGGCTCCATGGGGCAGAGAAGGTGGGGGGCAGAGGGTCATAAGAGTCATAAGAATGACCATACTGGGTCAGACTAATGGTCCATCTAGCCAAGTATCCTGTCTTCCAACAGTGGCCAATGCCAGGTGCCCCAGAGGGAATGAACACAACAGGTAATCATCAAGTGATCCATCCCTTGTCACCCATTTCCAGCTTCTGGCAAACAGAGGCTAGGGACACCATCCCTGCTCATCCTGGCTAATAGTCATTGATGGACCTATCCTCCATGAATTTATCTAGTTCTTTTTTGAACCCTGTTATAGTCTTGGCCTTCCCACATCCTCTGGCAAGGAGTTCCACAGGTTGACTATGCATTGGGTGAAGAAATACTTCCTTTTGTTTGTTTTAAACCTTCTGCCTATTAATTTCATTGGGTGACCCCTAGTTCGTGTTGTGACATTACACCCCATATTCTTCATAAAAATATGGTATAACTAAGATATACTTTATGCAAGATGGCTCATGTAAGATAGCGTTGGAAAGATTATGATTTACTGCATGTGATTATCCAATTTGTATGCATGTATCATTTCTGTATCTGAAGTTAGGAATATTGACTATGTAACAATTACAACTGTGTGTGTACTTTGGAAAATGCCCACCAGACAGTAAAGTAAGTAATCATCCTGAATGAGTCATTTAAGAAGGATAATAGAACTGTGAAGATACTAATCTCTCTCCTTTCTGAGAGGCTTCCTGGGACCCAGCTGTGACACAACCAGGGCAGGTGGTCCTTCACCTGATACAAAATACCACCTTGGACACTGCTGGTATTTTTCGTCTGTAGGGGGATGGAGATCAAACAGTGGATTCCCGCTTTAGGTCAATCCTTTTAAAGGGCTGGGGTGGGGGTTGATCTGGACTCTCCTCCATTGCCTACCCAAGAAGAAGGACTGCTGGAAGAACCTGAAGGGATAAAGGAACTATCCTGAAAGGAAAGGCTGGGGTGAGTCCAGACTGAGACAGGGGTCCAGTCTGTAAGAAGAAATAACTGGAACTCTGAGCTACAGAAACTCTGAATCCTGCCTAATTCAACATTTAGGGTGAGAAATTACATTTTGTAACCTGTTTCTTTAGTGAATCAAGCTTAGTTTGAATGTTTTATTTTATTTGCTTAGTAATCTGCTTTGTTCTGTTTGCTATCACTTATAAGCATTTAAAATCTGCCTTTTATAGTTAATAAATTTGTTTCGTTTCTTATTAAACCACTTTGTGCAATTTCTAACTGGGGGGGGGGGCAAGAAATTGTGCATATCTCTCTTCACATTGAGGAAGAGGGAGAATTTTTATGAGCTTGCACTGTGCAGATCTTTCTATACAGAGCAAGACAATATACCTTTGGGTCTGCACTCCAGGGAGATGGGAACCTGAGTGTGGGGAAAGTCCCTTCAGCTGAGTCTTCCCATAGCCCATCTCAGTGTCTGTGTCTTTCTGCAGCTGGGTGTGGCCCTGCCTGTGTGTGTGCTAGAGGAGGTTTAAGAGCTTGGCTCACCAAGACAGTGTAAAGGGGGCCCAGGCTGGCAGAACAGGCAGGCTCAGTGGTCTCTCAGTACATCAGGTGGCACCTTCAGGGAGGCCAAACCATCATATGCATGTTATGAGAAGGAGTAAATAACACTTCCTTATTTACTTTCTCCACAGAGTCATGATTTTATAGCCCTCTATCATATTCCCCCTTAGTCGTCTCTTTTCCAAGATGAAAAGTCCCACTCTGATTAATCTCTCCTCATAGAGAAGCTGTTCTATACCCCGATCATTTCTGTTGCCCTTTTCAGAACCTTTTCCAATTCCAATGTATCTTTTTTGAGATGAGGCGACCAGATCTGCATGCAGCATTCATGATCATAGAATCATAGACTACAGGACTGGAGGGGACCTGGAGAGGGCATCTAGTCCAGTCCCCTGCACTCATGGCAGGACTATTTTTTTATCTAGACCATCCCTGGCGGGTGTTTGTCTAACCTGCTCTTAAAAATCCCCAATGATGGAGATTCCACAGCCTCCATTGGCAATTTATTCTGATGTTTATTTTGATGATGTGGGCGGACCATGGATTTATAGAGAGGCAATATGATATTTTCTGTCTCATTAGCTATCCCTTTCTTAATGATTCCCAACACTGTTTGTTTTTTTGACTGTGGCTGCACTTAGAGTGGATATTTTCATCCAGATGACTCCAAGATCTCTTTCTTGGGTGGTAACAGCTAATTTAGGCCCCATGGTTTTGTAGGTATAGTTGGGATTTTATTTCCCAATGTGCATTACTTTTCACTTATCAACATCGCATTTCATCTGCTGTTTTATTGCCCAGACACCCAGTTTGTTGAGAGCCCTTTGTAATTCTTCGCAGTCTGCTTTGGACTTAACTCTCTTGAGTAGTTCTGTATCATCTGCAAATTTTGCCACCTCGCTGTTTACCCCTTTTAACAGATCGTTTATGAATATCTTGGATAGCACTGGACCCAGTACCGATCCCTGGGTGGGGGACGCTGCTATTTACCTCTCTCCCCTGGGGCTCCATGGGGCAGGGGTGGTGGGGGAGGGGGGCTCACCTGGGGCTCCATGGTCGGCGGTGAAGGGTCCGTGTCTCTGCTGACAGATGCTCACACCCGCTCCTGGTGCGACGGGCTCCCAGCCCTGCTCTGTGCAGCGCTGCCCCAGGCAGCCCGGCGAGCGCGGGTGGGGGCTGCTGGCCACAGACCTGTCGCGGGCAGGTGACAGGACGGGGAGCGAACAGGGGCTCTGAGAACTTCCTCCTCATCGCAGCTCGACAGCAGCGCGGGGCGGTCACTGCGGTGTCGCGCTTGCAGCGACGCCCCAGGGGCCAGAACCGCTCCCATGCGGAGGGCGCTGGGGCTGGGGCAGGGCGGCTCGGAGAAGCGGGACCCGTGGGACTGGTGCTGCTCTGCCGGGCCCCGCGTTCCGCTCTCCGGCAGGGGCGCGGCTCCCTCCTCCGCTGCTCAGCCCTGGCGGGACGGTCATCTCCCCACTGCCCCCCGGCTCTGGGTCCCCTCTGCCCCGGCGGGGAGCCCCCGCTGCTGGGGTGAGCGCTCCGCCCGGACACTCGCCCCGACCCTCCCCGCTGCGTGAATAAGATCAGGTGAATAAGATCAGGCAGCTGTTCTGGCCGTAGGTCCTGGCCATGAGCTGGGCCACAAGGCTGTCTGGGCCGGAGATCAGACGCCTTTCATAATTATCCCCCCATGTAACCTCTTTAGACGCCACTCACTGTGCTCCATGTATTTCCTATTTGGTGTAATCACCATTATATAGAATATCAGGGTTGAAAGGGACCTCAGGAGGTCATCTAGTCCAATCCCCTGCTCAAAGCAGGCCCGATCCCCAACTAAATCATCCCAGCCAGGGCTTTGTCAAGCCTGACCTTAAAAACCTCTAAGGAAGGAGATTCTACCACCTCCCTAGGTAATGCATTCCAGTGTTTCACCACCCTCCTAGTGAAAAAGTTTTTCCTAATATCCAACCTAAACCTCCCCCACTGCAACTTGAGACCATTACTCCTCGTTCTGTCATCTGCTACCACTGAGAACAGTCTAGAGCCATCCTCTTTGGAACCCCCTTTCAGGTAGTTGAAAGCAGCTATCAAATCCCCCCTCATTCTTCTCTTCCGCAGACTAAACAATCCCAGTTCCCTCAGCCTCTCCTCATAAGTCATGTGTTCCAGTCCCCTAATCATTTTTGTTGCCCTCCGCTGGACTCTTTCCAATTTTTCCACATCCTTCTTGTAGTGTGGGGCCCAAAACTGGACACAGTACTCCAGATGAGGCCTCACCAATGTCGAATAGAGGGGAACGATCACGTCCCTCGATCTGCTGGCAATGCCTCTAAGTATACATCCCAAAATGCTATTGGCCTTCTTGGCAACAAGAGCACACTGTTGACTCATATCCAGCTTCTCGTCCATTGTAACCCCTAGGTCCTTTTCTGCAGAACTGCTGCCGAGCCATTAGATCCCTAGTCTGTAGCGGTGCATTGGATTCTTCCGTCCTAAGTGCAGGACTCTGCACTTGTCCTTTTTGAACCTCATCAGATTTCTTTTGGCCCAATCCTCTAATTTGTCTAGGTCCCTCTGTATCCTATCCCTACCCTCCAGCATCTCTACCTCTCCTCCCAGTTTAGTGTCATCTGCAAACTTGCTGAGGGTGCAATCCACACCATCCTCCAGATCATTTATGAAGATATTGAACAAAACCGGCCCCAGGACCGACCCTTGAGGCACTTCACTTGATACCGGCTGCCAACTAGACATGGAGCCATTGATCACTACCCGTTGAGCCCGACAATCTAGCCAACTTTCTATCCACCTTATAGTCCAGTCATCCAGCCCATACTTCTTTAACTTGCTGGCAAGAATACTGTGGGAGACTGTGTCAAAAGCTTTGCTAAACTCAAGGAACAACACGTCCACTGCTTTCCCCTCATTCACAGAGCCAGTTATCTCGTGACTTGCCCTTGGTGAATCCATGCTGACTGTTCCTGATCACTTTCCTCTCCTCTAAGTGCTTCAGAATTGATTCCTTGAGGACCTGCTCCACCATTTTTCCGGGGACTGAGGTGAGGCTGACTGGCCTGTAGTTCCCAGGATCCTCCTTCTTCCCTTTTTTAAAGATGGGCACTACATTAGCCTTTTTCCAGTCGTCCGGGACTTCTGTCAGAATGTTCTGGTTTAGTAACATTGAATTGTGTTGTTCCGTTTCAGAATGTTTTATTTTATATGTAACTTAGAGCTTAATATGTAAGTATAATCATATAGCATCATAGCGAATGTCCTTTATAATAGAATAGACTGGAAAATAAATTGGGAAAGAAAAAGTATTTTTGGAAGGAAAAAGGAAATGACACAAAATTTAATCCAAATTGACACAATCCCAGTTTCCGTTTCAACAAAACTGCATTTTCCAATTGAAAACTGCGCCATGAGACATTTTTTGAGCAGCTGTATTATTTAGTATTAATTTTATGGTAGCACCTGGGAGCCCCAGTCATGGACCAGCCCCTCATTGTGCTAGGCGCTGTACATTGTATATTAAGTGAGTTACCATGCATCTGGGAGCCCCAGGCATGAACCAGGATCCCACTGTGCTGGCTCCACTTCTGAGGAGTTGTGTGTGAGGTCTCTGCCAGAGAGGAGAGAACATCGTAAGGCCAACCCCTCAAACCCTCCCCGCAACCATGGCTACGCCTGCAAGACATGCAATCCCATTTGCAAACCCAGGATCAGACGTGTTTCCCACGTGAGAAGCCATAAAAACAAATACACCCAGAACGTGGGGCAACACTAGCTGAACACTCATCCATCGAAGTGAGGAGAGAATCCCAAAACAATGGTAATGCCTGGGAGCCCCGTCGTGGGCCAGGACCTGATTGTGCTGCATGCTGTACGTTATTTATTAGGTGTATTATGGTAGCACCAAGGAGCCCCAGTCATGCCCCGGGACCCCATTGCGCTCCCTGATGTATGTTATTTATTAGTTGTATTATGGTAGCGCCTAGGAAAACCAGTCATCCCCTGAGACTCCATTGTGTTAGGTGCTGTACAAACTCAGACAAGCTCCATCTCACCCCAGGATCTCCGTTTCCCCAGCCCTGAGAACATCCAATACAGCAGAGCAACCTGCCAAGACATGGCAGATGATTCCTCCATTGCAGGTGTGACGCAGGCAGAACAGGTCCAAACTCGTGCCAAGGTCCGCGTGTCTCAGCTGAACTGTGACCAATACCTAGCTGGGCTCTGTCAGGCTCGCCTTTGTGTTGGTGCTGGTCATGTAGGGATTAGAAATCCAAACATCTGTTTGGGGTTTAAATGTTATCGAGTGCTTGTGAGTTGCTGGGCGCATTAATCTCACTTATTCCTGTACACTCTGGGGTACAGATGCTATATTTGAGCATCACAGTGCGAATCACCAGACAGGAGAGAGACATTAACTAGTGGGAAGGGCTGATCGCCAGCAGGTGTCACATCCTGCCCAACAAGAAGGGTCTATTTACACCAATGGACCACTGTGGGTCGTTAAAGAGGACAAAAACCATTGGTTGTTCTGCCCTCCCTCCTCCCCCACGAAGATGAGTCATGTAAGTGGATTCCTCCCATCAGTGGAGTCTGCACAAGGGAGAAAGGGGATGAAAATCCCTGACAAGAAGCAACTGGATCTCTATGCTGCTTGGACTCTGTTGGGGGCAAGGTTTTCAAGCCATAAGTAAGAGATCCCCAACTGCTTAGCTTGGTTTCGCCTTAAAGGTGACATACAGCTTGCTTATTAGAAAAGCGTCTATTACCTTTGGAAACTTACGATTATAACTTATTTGTGTATCTATGTTCACCTGTTTTAACCTTCAAAATAACTCGTGTTTCCTGTTCCTAGTTAATCAATCTGTACACAGTTTATTATAGGATTGGCTACCAGCGTTGTCTTTGGTGTGAGATCTAAGGTGCAATTGACGTAGGGTAAGTGACTGGCCCTTTGGGACTGGGAGTAACCTGAATATTGTTATGATTCTTGGTGTAAAGAACCTTCTGTCCCCAAGACAGGCTGACCTGGGTGGCAGATCGGAGGACCCGGGGAAATATCGGTGGCTCCATGTTAAGGCTGCTACATTCCTGAAGAGGTTACACGGGGTGCTTGGTTGGGGACAGCTAATTATAGAGCTCCCAGCCAACTCAGGGTTTGTGCCCTGCTTCCTGACAGTCTGTTCGGAGATCAGCACGCACGCTGTTCAGCCAGGGCTGGCAGCCTTACAGACCAACCCGGCCACAACACTGCAGAAGCTGGTGTTAGGGGGAGCTGTATCTGAGGAACCCCTTGGTGAAATGGCTCCAAATTAGGGTCACTCACCTGACCCCAGGCCCCCATGTACCACAGCAAATTTCAAGGTCATCCAAGGAAACATGGAAATTTCAGAGCACTTTTAGAGGAGAAGTGGTGTCTCAATCTTGCCCTGCAATAATGGTCCCTTCTGGGAACCAAGGAGTTTGCAATGGGATCTGCCTTCTGCAGCTGTAACCCTTGTGTTTGGTTCCCAGGTGCAGCTCCTGTCAGCTAGGGGAGCAGAGGGCGGGGCTGGGAGCTCTGTCCCCCCTCATGCTCCAGGTGCCCCCCATCCCCGGGGGATTGGGGCTGTCTGCTCAGGGGATCCCCGCCCAGGGAGCAGGGGATGGGGGTTCTAGGGATAGGGAGGGGAACACTCAGGGGCTCTGGCTCCAGTTAAACCCAAGCTGCCTCCCAGCCTGCCTGTTTGGAACCAGGCTCGACATGGGGACCCAGCACCTCCAGGGGACGACGTGAGACTCCCGACGCACAGACGGAGATGGGAGACCTGGATGCACGGACAGACGCCCCCAGGATGCTCAGGAGCTTTATTGGTGGCAATCGCACATCAGAGAATCAGCAAAAAGCATCACCCACAGACTGGAACAACCCCAAAGCAGCCCCCACTGACAGAGCCCCAGTCACCGAGAGCCCCACTGCCCCACCGTGGCTATGGTCCATGCCCAGGAATCCCCCCACCACCATCTGAGTAAGGAGCTCCCCCCGCGATCCAGCCCCATCACAATATGCCCTGCTCCCACCCCCCGGCCTCATGCAGAGATGGAGGTTGGGTTCTAGATCGGAGTTCTGAGCTCACTGGGTGGATGTGGGTTCTTGACTTCAGCTCAGAGACACCCCCAGGGTTGGGGGTCATGTTCTCGATTGGAGCTTCACATGCACTGCTGGGGGTGAAGGTTTAGCACGGAGCTTGAGATGCACTGTGGGGGTGGCAATTCTGGATTGGTGCACACTTGGGGAAAGGGCCGCTTCTAGAGCACAGATTGGAGCACACCCAGGGATTCTAGGGGTTCTAGGCTGGAGTACAGCCAGAGATGGGGATGGGGTTTTACACTGCAGCACACCTAGCAATGGGGCTCTAGAATGGAGATTTTAGCACATCCAGGGATGGGGTTCTAGATGGGAACACACACTGGAAGGGGTTCTAGCTTGGCACATACCCATGTATCGGGTTCTAGATTGGTGCATGTCCATGAATGGGGTTCTAGATTGGAGCACACCCATGGATTAGGGCTCTACATTGGGGTACACATCAGAATGGGGTTTTGGATTGGAGCTTGGTGCCTGGTTGGGACGTGTTTCTTTTATACTCAGCGAGCCAGAAGCACGTGGGCAGCGAGAGAGGCCAGTGGCAGAAAGAGCCACACACGATTCCTGGCCCCGCTCCACTGTCTATATCTTCCCAGCCAGGCAGGGGTTGTTTTCGGGGTCCGTCGCAGCGCAGTCCTGGCAGCAGTTGTTTTCGCAGCGCAGCAGGGGCACATCGTGCAGCTGGTGCCAGGCCTCCAGCAGCTCCTGGCGGCTCACCACGGGCCATGTATCGTTGCAGAAGATGCGCTGGAAGACGAAGGCCTTGTAGTTGCTGTCGATGTCCAAGAAGGCATCGCTGGTCATGCTGAGGATGTTGTAGGGCCCGTTTTCCGCCAGGCACATGCTCGTGCAGGGCGAGTTGAGGGTGAATAAGATCAGGCAGCAGTTCGGTCTGCAGGTCCTGGCCTTGAGCTGGGCCACCGAGCTGTTCTTGCCCCTGTGGAGCAGACGCCACTCGCTGTGCTGCCAGCGAGTCTTCCGATGCCGAGGCCGGGCAGCTACAATAGGCCAGTCATTCAGGGTGTACTGGCCATCTGGCTTAGCGAGCGCCTGATTCATGGCATTCAGCGCTGTCTCGGGCAGCTGCTCCTGCAGGTTGGTGGGTTGGTTACACGTCTCACGGGGCAGGCTCACGACGAAGGCATATTGAGATCCATCTAGTGTGAGGGGCCTGAGAGGGATCAGAGCACAGCAGGGTCAGGGACCCAGGACTCAGCCAGGAGATGCCAATTAAAGGGAGAGAAATGGGAATAGGCCCCCCAAATACCCTCCTACCTCAAGGCTCCATCTCCGCCGTGCACCCCAAATCACCCCTCCAGACTCTGGGCCCCATCTCTGCCTGGATTCTCAGAATCACCCCTCCAAGCTCTTTTCCATATCTCCCCCTGAACCCCCAGAATCACCCCTCCCAGGTCTGGGCCACATCTCCCCCTTGTAAACCAATAATCACCCCCTCTATGTCCAGGCTACAGCTCTCTCTGTACCCCTAGAATCATCTCTCCCATCTCCTTCCAGATCCCCCACAATCAGCAACACCCAGATGTGGGCCCAATCTCCCTCTGCTACCCCATAATCTCCCCTCCCCACCACAGGCTCCATCTCCCCACTGAACCCCCAGAATCACCGTTCCTCATATTTGAGCCCCACCTCCTACACCCTGAGAATCACCCCTCCCAGGTGTGGGCTCAGTCTTCCCCCTGCAACCCCATTTTCACCCCCTCCTAGCTATGGGATCCATCTCCCTCCGCAGTCCAGAAACACCCCACCTCTGAGCTTCATCTCCCCTTGCACCCCCATTATCAGCCCCTCCCAGTTTTGGTCTCCATCTCCCCCTGGACCTCCAGAATCATCCCTCTCCCAGCTCTGGGCTCAATTTCCCCTCTGCACCCCCAGAGTCGCCTCTCTTCAAGACTAATCTAGTCATCCAAGTCAGGAGTGAATTCATCACCCAGCATGCTGGGTGCTCTCCAACTACGGTCAGTGTCTGGGCAGAGCTGGGCACAATGGGACCCCCTGACCTTCCTGGGCATCCCTTCAAGCCAGTGGGATCCAACCAGGGCCATTCTGTGCAGCTTTTTGCAGCTGGGCTACAGGGGCAGGGAAGGACAGAGACAAACTGGTCACTCACCGGTTCACATAATCCACGATCACTCTGAGCGCAGCTGGGTTGATGCTCGTGGAGGTCTCTGGCCCGAAGCAGAGGAGAAGGAGCAGCAGCAGGAGTCCAGCCGTTGGCATCCATCCCAGTACCTGCACAGGACTCCACAGACTCAGAGCCCCCCAACCCACATCTCCTAGCCCTGCTATGCTACCAACAGGCGAGTGGGCAGTGGGACCCTGTGGGGCTACATGGGGGAGGAGGAGGAGGGGGAAATGGGGGAGTCATCAGGGTTTCCATGGGTAGGAGGAACTGGGGGGCAGAAAGCACTACCCTGGTGCTCCATGGGGTAGTGAAGGTGGGGGTCATGGGGGAGTTCCCTTGGGCTCCATGGGGCAGAGAAGGTGGGGGGCAGAGGGTCATAAGAGTCATAAGAATGACCATACTGGGTCAGACTAATGGTCCATCTAGCCAAGTATCCTGTCTTCCAACAGTGGCCAATGCCAGGTGCCCCAGAGGGAATGAACACAACAGGTAATCATCAAGTGATCCATCCCTTGTCACCCATTTCCAGCTTCTGGCAAACAGAGGCTAGGGACACCATCCCTGCTCATCCTGGCTAATAGTCATTGATGGACCTATCCTCCATGAATTTATCTAGTTCTTTTTTGAACCCTGTTATAGTCTTGGCCTTCCCACATCCTCTGGCAAGGAGTTCCACAGGTTGACTATGCATTGGGTGAAGAAATACTTCCTTTTGTTTGTTTTAAACCTTCTGCCTATTAATTTCATTGGGTGACCCCTAGTTCGTGTTGTGACATTACACCCCATATTCTTCATAAAAATATGGTATAACTAAGATATACTTTATGCAAGATGGCTCATGTAAGATAGCGTTGGAAAGATTATGATTTACTGCATGTGATTATCCAATTTGTATGCATGTATCATTTCTGTATCTGAAGTTAGGAATATTGACTATGTAACAATTACAACTGTGTGTGTACTTTGGAAAATGCCCACCAGACAGTAAAGTAAGTAATCATCCTGAATGAGTCATTTAAGAAGGATAATAGAACTGTGAAGATACTAATCTCTCTCCTTTCTGAGAGGCTTCCTGGGACCCAGCTGTGACACAACCAGGGCAGGTGGTCCTTCACCTGATACAAAATACCACCTTGGACACTGCTGGTATTTTTCGTCTGTAGGGGGATGGAGATCAAACAGTGGATTCCCGCTTTAGGTCAATCCTTTTAAAGGGCTGGGGTGGGGGTTGATCTGGACTCTCCTCCATTGCCTACCCAAGAAGAAGGACTGCTGGAAGAACCTGAAGGGATAAAGGAACTATCCTGAAAGGAAAGGCTGGGGGTGAGTCCAGGCTGAGACAGGGGTCCAGTCTGTAAGAAGAAATAACTGGAACTCTGAGCTACAGAAACTCTGAATCCTGCCTAATTCAACATTTAGGGTGAGAAATTACATTTTGTAACCTGTTTCTTTAGTGAATCAAGCTTAGTTTGAATGTTTTATTTTATTTGCTTAGTAATCTGCTTTGTTCTGTTTGCTATCACTTATAAGCATTTAAAATCTGCCTTTTATAGTTAATAAATTTGTTTCGTTTCTTATTAAACCACTTTGTGCAATTTCTAACTGGGGGGGGGGGGGGCAAGAAATTGTGCATATCTCTCTTCACATTGAGGAAGAGGGAGAATTTTTATGAGCTTGCACTGTGCAGATCTTTCTATACAGAGCAAGACAATATACCTTTGGGTCTGCACTCCAGGGAGATGGGAACCTGAGTGCGGGGAAAGTCCCTTCAGCTGAGTCTTCCCATAGCCCATCTCAGTGTCTGTGTCTTTCTGCAGCTGGGTGTGGCCCTGCCTGTGTGTGTGCTAGAGGAGGTTTAAGAGCTTGGCTCACCAAGACAGTGTAAAGGGGGCCCAGGCTGGCAGAACAGGCAGGCTCAGTGGTCTCTCAGTACATCAGGTGGCACCTTCAGGGAGGCCAAACCATCATATGCATGTTATGAGAAGGAGTAAATAACACTTCCTTATTTACTTTCTCCACAGAGTCATGATTTTATAGCCCTCTATCATATTCCCCCTTAGTCGTCTCTTTTCCAAGATGAAAAGTCCCACTCTGATTAATCTCTCCTCATAGAGAAGCTGTTCTATACCCCGATCATTTCTGTTGCCCTTTTCAGAACCTTTTCCAATTCCAATGTATCTTTTTTTGAGATGAGGCGACCAGATCTGCATGCAGCATTCATGATCATAGAATCATAGACTACAGGACTGGAGGGGACCTGGAGAGGGCATCTAGTCCAGTCCCCTGCACTCATGGCAGGACTATTTTTTTATCTAGACCATCCCTGGCGGGTGTTTGTCTAACCTGCTCTTAAAAATCCCCAATGATGGAGATTCCACAGCCTCCATTGGCAATTTATTCTGATGTTTATTTTGATGATGTGGGCGGACCATGGATTTATAGAGAGGCAATATGATATTTTCTGTCTCATTAGCTATCCCTTTCTTAATGATTCCCAACACTGTTTGTTTTTTTGACTGTGGCTGCACTTAGAGTGGATATTTTCATCCAGATGACTCCAAGATCTCTTTCTTGGGTGGTAACAGCTAATTTAGGCCCCATGGTTTTGTAGGTATAGTTGGGATTTTATTTCCCAATGTGCATTACTTTTCACTTATCAACATCGCATTTCATCTGCTGTTTTATTGCCCAGACACCCAGTTTGTTGAGAGCCCTTTGTAATTCTTCGCAGTCTGCTTTGGACTTAACTCTCTTGAGTAGTTCTGTATCATCTGCAAATTTTGCCACCTCGCTGTTTACCCCTTTTAACAGATCGTTTATGAATATCTTGGATAGCACTGGACCCAGTACCGATCCCTGGGTGGGGGACGCTGCTATTTACCTCTCTCCCCTGGGGCTCCATGGGGCAGGGGTGGTGGGGGAGGGGGGCTCACCTGGGGCTCCATGGTCGGCGGTGAAGGGTCCGTGTCTCTGCTGACAGATGCTCACACCCGCTCCTGGTGCGACGGGCTCCCAGCCCTGCTCTGTGCAGCGCTGCCCCAGGCAGCCCGGCGAGCGCGGGTGGGGGCTGCTGGCCACAGACCTGTCGCGGGCAGGTGACAGGACGGGGAGCGAACAGGGGCTCTGAGAACTTCCTCCTCATCGCAGCTCGACAGCAGCGGGGCGGTCACTGCGGTGTCGCGCTTGCAGCGACGCCCCAGGGGCCAGAACCGCTCCCATGCGGAGGGCGCTGGGGCTGGGGCAGGGCGGCTCGGAGAAGCGGGACCCGTGGGACTGGTGCTGCTCTGCCGGGCCCCGCGTTCCGCTCTCCGGCAGGGGCGCGGCTCCCTCCTCCGCTGCTCAGCCCTGGCGGGACGGTCATCTCCCCACTGCCCCCCGGCTCTGGGTCCCCTCTGCCCCGGCGGGGAGCCCCCGCTGCTGGGGTGAGCGCTCCGCCCGGACACTCGCCCCCGACCCTCCCCGCTGCGTGAATAAGATCAGGTGAATAAGATCAGGCAGCTGTTCTGGCCGTAGGTCCTGGCCATGAGCTGGGCCACAAGGCTGTCTGGGCCGGAGATCAGACGCCTTTCATAATTATCCCCCCATGTAACCTCTTTAGACGCCACTCACTGTGCTCCATGTATTTCCTATTTGGTGTAATCACCATTATATAGAATATCAGGGTTGAAAGGGACCTCAGGAGGTCATCTAGTCCAATCCCCTGCTCAAAGCAGGCCCGATCCCCAACTAAATCATCCCAGCCAGGGCTTTGTCAAGCCTGACCTTAAAAACCTCTAAGGAAGGAGATTCTACCACCTCCCTAGGTAATGCATTCCAGTGTTTCACCACCCTCCTAGTGAAAAAGTTTTTCCTAATATCCAACCTAAACCTCCCCCCACTGCAACTTGAGACCATTACTCCTCGTTCTGTCATCTGCTACCACTGAGAACAGTCTAGAGCCATCCTCTTTGGAACCCCCTTTCAGGTAGTTGAAAGCAGCTATCAAATCCCCCCTCATTCTTCTCTTCCGCAGACTAAACAATCCCAGTTCCCTCAGCCTCTCCTCATAAGTCATGTGTTCCAGTCCCCTAATCATTTTTGTTGCCCTCCGCTGGACTCTTTCCAATTTTTCCACATCCTTCTTGTAGTGTGGGGCCCAAAACTGGACACAGTACTCCAGATGAGGCCTCACCAATGTCGAATAGAGGGGAACGATCACGTCCCTCGATCTGCTGGCAATGCCTCTAAGTATACATCCCAAAATGCTATTGGCCTTCTTGGCAACAAGAGCACACTGTTGACTCATATCCAGCTTCTCGTCCATTGTAACCCCTAGGTCCTTTTCTGCAGAACTGCTGCCGAGCCATTAGGTCCCTAGTCTGTAGCGGTGCATTGGATTCTTCCGTCCTAAGTGCAGGACTCTGCACTTGTCCTTTTTGAACCTCATCAGATTTCTTTTGGCCCAATCCTCTAATTTGTCTAGGTCCCTCTGTATCCTATCCCTACCCTCCAACATCTCTACCTCTCCTCCCAGTTTAGTGTCATCTGCAAACTTGCTGAGGGTGCAATCCACACCATCCTCCAGATCATTTATGAAGATATTGAACAAAACCGGCCCCAGGACCGACCCTTGAGGCACTTCACTTGATACCGGCTGCCAACTAGACATGGAGCCATTGATCACTACCCGTTGAGCCCGACAATCTAGCCAACTTTCTATCCACCTTATAGTCCAGTCATCCAGCCCATACTTCTTTAACTTGCTGGCAAGAATACTGTGGGAGACTGTGTCAAAAGCTTTGCTAAACTCAAGGAACAACACGTCCACTGCTTTCCCCTCATTCACAGAGCCAGTTATCTCGTGACTTGCCCTTGGTGAATCCATGCTGACTGTTCCTGATCACTTTCCTCTCCTCTAAGTGCTTCAGAATTGATTCCTTGAGGACCTGCTCCACCATTTTTCCGGGGACTGAGGTGAGGCTGACTGGCCTGTAGTTCCCAGGATCCTCCTTCTTCCCTTTTTTAAAGATGGGCACTACATTAGCCTTTTTCCAGTCGTCCGGGACTTCTGTCAGAATGTTCTGGTTTAGTAACATTGAATTGTGTTGTTCCGTTTCAGAATGTTTTA